GAGTTTCACCATGTTGGCCAGGATGGTCTCGATCTCTTGACCTCATGATCCACCCACCTCGGCCTCCCAAAGTGCTGGGATTACAGGCATGAGCCACCATGCGCAGCAATTTTTTATTTTTTATTTCATTCATTTCTACTTCTCTATATCCATAGAAGGTTGTGGTAGAGGATGCTTTGTGATGTTTTAACGATTTGAAATTTCTGTTATTTTTGTCATTTGACATTAGCTTTAATGTTAATGCAGAAGGGCATATTTAAATGCTTGACTCAAGAATAAAATCTTGTCACCTTCCAACTCCAACACTTAGTGACTGTGTGCCTCTCTTAACCTCTCTGTGCCTTTCTTTGGTCAGGCAGACAGAAGATCATTTACTAGTCATTATTCAAAGGCTTGTGAAGATGGAATGCAATAATTCATGTAAAGCATAGAGACAGGAATGTAGAAAGCAGTAAGTATTAACTGCCATCATCATCATCAACACTATCCTACAAAGGTTACTAGTACCACTGAAACAGTGTTGCTACGTTCAAAGTAGCAGCTATAACTAGAAGAGGGACATCAAATAGCCAAAAGCTTCAACATACTTCTGAAGTTTCTAAGTTATTTTGGATATTTTTCTTTGAAAATATTTTGGATAATCTGTGGACATAAAAATAGCTTAGCTAAGTTAGTTAGATGAACAATTTCAATGGAGTTAACATTCAGAGAGCAATGGTCCAGTTCTCTTAACTACTATCCTAAATTTGTAGAAAAAGTGAGCCTATTCATGACCAAAACACCAAAAGCATTGGCAACAAAAGCCAAAATAGACAAATGGGACCTAATCAAACTCCACAGCCTCTGCACGGCAAAAGAAACAGTCATTAGAGTGAATCGGCAACCAACAGAATGGGAAAAAATTTTTGCAGTTTACCCATTTGACAAAGGGCTGATATCCAGAATCTACAAAGAACTGAAACAGATTTACAAGAAAAAAACAAACAAGTCCATTCAAAAGTGGGCAAAGGATATGAACAGATACTTTACAAAAGAAGACATACATGAGGCCAACAAACATGAAAAAATGCTCATCATCACTGGTCATCAGAGAAATGCAAATCAAAACTACATTGAGATACCATCTCACGCCAGTTAGAATGGTGATCATTAAAAAATCTAGAGACAACAGTTGCTGGAGAGGATGTGGAGAAATAGGAACACTTTTGCACTGTTGGTGGGAGTCTAAATTAGTTCAACCATCGTGGAAGACAGTGTGGCAATTACTCAAGGACCTAGAAATAGAAATTCCATTTGACCCAGCAATCCCATTACTGGCTATATAGCCAAAGGATTATAAATCGTTCTACTGTAAGGACACGTGCACGCGAATGTTCATTGCAGCACTGTTTACAATAGCAAAGACCTGGAACCAACCCAAATGCCCATTGATGATAGACTGGACAGGGAAAATGTGGCACATATACACCATGGAATATTATGCAGCCATCAAAAACGATGAGTTTGGGTCCTTTGTAGGGACATGGATGAACCTGGAAACCATAATTCTCAGCAAACTGACAGAGGAGCAGAAGATCAAACACCGCATGTTCTCACTCATAGGCGGGTGTTGAACAATGAGAACACATGGACGCAGGGAGGGGAGCACTACACACTGGGGTCTGTTGCGGGGAAATAGGGGAGGATCAGTGGGGAGTGGGGAGTTGGGGAGAGATAGCATGGGGAGAAATGCCAGATATAGGTGAGGGGGAGGAAGGCAGCAAATCACACTGCCACATGTGTACCTATGCAACAGTCTTGCATGTTCTTCACATGTACCCCAAAACCTAAAATGCAATAAAATAAATAAAATAAAAATTAGTTTTTAACTGTTTTCAAAAGTTCTGTCCTATTGGAGCATGAGTTTTGTAAATCCAAGATAAAGCAGGAAGGTAATTGATTGCTGGAGGAATGTTCTGTGCAAATTAGTGCTAAAAAATTTCACAAATTTTTGACTGGATTCAGTGTACAGATTGCTATGCTAGGATGGGATGGATTACGGGTAGAGAAGATGGAATTCGAGGATGAAGACGAGCTTGTCCCCACCTTCAAGGAACACTCAATGTAGCTAGAGGCCAGGACTGGGTATGGTCAGCTTTAACTGTCTTCTTTCAAGTATTTAGATATTTCATTTAAAATAACGAATAGCCAGGCATGTAATTATATAACTTTAGAGTTATGCTTTTAGTTTTTAAAACCATGAGTTTGAAGACAATTCAAGGTAGTGGATTAATTTTTATTATTGAATAAACAATGATAGGTAATAATATGCAAATATAAGAACTGGTGCATTTCTATAAGAGCTGTTGGCTTCTTCATCATCGTACTGGAGGTTACGTGGAATAGATTATTTTTTGAAGCTAGTTACAAGAATGGGTATCCGCTGGTAGTTTTCTAAATTGTCCTTTAACTTTTTCAGTAACAAATATATACACTGGTGATAATAAACATATTTATTTACTTGCTATGTCTCAGTATATGTTTTTTATGATTCTCTGGGCCTTGGCAAATAAACAGAATTTGGGGTTTAGAAATGCTGTACTATATTTGAAATGATTGAACTTCTTATTTTTCTTCCATAATATAACCTGTTTTGTAACATCAAATGGAGAAGAGACTAATATTGTGTTCTTTGTGCCAGGTACTGTGGTAGGTATTTTACAGATGTGGGCCCTGGTTTGTGTGGTTGCTAACCTTTTTGACCCACAAAATTCTGGCAACATCTTAACTATCCCCTTATATCTGTGGAGACTAAATTCATTATTATCACTTTAAATATACCACATTGATTTCTGTGTCTATGGCTTGATTTAGAAGTTAGGGGATTTAATTTCCTTTCCCTAGATTAAGTACTTTATTTCCTGCCTACATAGTTGCTAAGGTCAACTGTTTTTCATGTTTTTCTTACCATGTATTTTTGGAGGCAGGGGAAGCAGTTAGTGATATGTCTGTGTTTTCTTGCCCAGCTACCTGAAAGGATAGGGAGAGTCCTTAAAGGGAAGCTCAGATTAGAGATACTTGACTGGAAAATTAAAGTAAGCAAAAGCAGTGGCCACACGAGACAAGATTAATAGATGGGCTTACAAAAAAGTCTTAAACATTATTTGGTCTTTTGTATGATAAGAACTCTTTGTAGAATATACGCATCATAAGAGCAATTCTCTTGTCTGTTTTGTTCTCTGTGGCCCTGACTTCTGTGCCTGGCATAATGTAGGTGCCTAATAACGATGTGTTGATTAATTGAACTAACAAATGAATGAATAAATAACATTTCACTGGCAGTTTCTGATCTTTATATTTATTTGATGAGAAGTTTATTTGACTCAAGTTTTTTGTTGATATTCTATTAAATAGTGAGGGAGAAATTTGCTACTAAAGTGAGTAATTTCTAAATGGTTATTTAAAAAATTACCTTGGAAACTTTTTTCCTACAGAAAATTACCTCAAGGTATAAGGTAATTTATTCGTTGGTGGAGAAAGCATTTTATATCTCTGTAATAGTGACACTTGTAAATCTTTATTACCCATGGTTCTTTTTTAGAAAAATCACCTCATGCAATAAAAAAAGAAAAACCTTAAAAAAATCATTGTAGACTTTACAGTAGGGAAGTTTTGCTCACATGTATTTGAAGAGTGCATGAAACAAGGTTTGTTTCCTTCTTTTATGCTTTTATAATGTGCCAAGATAGTTAGGAGTTCTTAATGAGTAGATTTATGTAATGTAGGTTAAGGCATGTACTTTTTTTCCCCAAAGGCTTTAATATAATTGCAAAACTCTTCTTTAGAAAGATCATATCTAATTTGTATTTTCTTTCTTCCAACCCCACTCTATTCTTGAATCTTGGGTGAAAAAAATTTGTTTAATTCTTTTTTGAATACTTCTGAGTTTGACCATCTTTTCAAATGTCTTACATGTGCTACCTGTTCATGTACTTCATCCGTTTTTCTGTTGGAGCTTTATCTTACTGGTATATAAATGTTCTTTATGTAGTCTTTGTAAAAGACACCTACTGTTTATGGTATTCAATGAATTGTTTTCTTCTTTGTGCATTTTTGCAAGAAACTCTAGAGACAGAAGGGTGTGACGGCTCTGGATTTTTATTTATTTTTGAGACAGAGTTGTGCTCTTGTCACCCAGGCTGGAGTGCAATGGTGCGATCTTGGTTCACTGCAACTTCTGCCTTCCAGGTTCAAGCTATGCTCCTGCCTCAGCCTCCCAAGTAGCTGGGATTACAGGCTTCCACCACCATGCCTGGCTAATTTTTGTATTTTTAATAAAGATGGGGTTTCACCATGTTGGCCAGGCTGATCTCAAACTCCTGACCTCAGGTGATCCACCTGCCTGGCCTCCCAAAGTGCTGGGATTACAGGTGTGAGCCACCGCACCTGGTCACCTCTGGATTTTTTAAGGTTGACCTTTCTCTTTGTCTGTTTCTATTCCCAGTTGGAGGGATGAGCAAATATTTCTTGTCTTTTTGTTTTTTTCCTTTTTGTGGAGAACGGGGTCTTTCTATATTGCCCAGGCAGGTCTCGAACTCCTGGGCTCAAGCTATCCTCCCGCCTCTGCCTCCCTAAGAGCTGGGATTACAGGCGTGAGCCACAGCGCCCGGTGAGATGAGCAGATATTTCTATGTAAGGCTAATTAGTCTAAGGATTAGGTGTGCCATTGTCATAAAGTTGTAAGGTTTTTGGGTGTGTATCATAAAATTTTTCAAGAGATATTCCTCTGACTCTCAAGACTGAAACCAGCATTGCAGCAGCAGTTCAGCAGCAAATCCATAAGAAGAGGGGAAAATCCCGTGCCGACATATTTTTCTGACTGTTACTGCTATCTTTGGTCTTTTCAGGAACTTGCCATTCAGCTTACTGTTTTTACTGTGTTCTGTATGATTTTACCCCCATGCGCAGTCACGTGAGAAGTGACTTGTCTAACCCTGGGCTGTGTTTCCACTTATTTCCAGAATATTCACATACTGGAGAGGACTGCTTCCTCTAGCACCGAGCCCTCTTTAAGTCGGCAATTACTAGAACCGGAGCCAGTTCCCCTCTGCAAGGTCAGTGATGGAATTCAGTGCTTTCTTTGCTGGCATGATGCCTGCTCTGGGGCCAATTGAACTGTGAATCACTTTTACACCTGACTCCCTTAAAATAGCTTTGATGCCAGTTGTAGACAACTCTTTGCACTTTTTCTGCCTCCAATGTGTAAAGTTCCTCTGCCCTTTGTAAGAGAGAACAGAGAATGTATACTTTGCTGAGATTTGCTGGGTTACATACAAAGGTCTAAAATGCTCTTTAAGGGGAGAAGGAAAAAGAATGTATTGCCTTCCCCGTTGGAGAGAAGCAAATGTTTCTATGCCCAGCTAATGGAAAAGAAAAAAAAATCACTACATCCAGCAATAAAAATAACAACAGCTACCATTATTGCCATGTACTCCATCACCAGACACTATGAGAAGTATTTAAATATATTATCCCATTTAATATAGTTCTCATAAACAGCTCCACACAATGTAGGTATTTATCACATTTGACAAATATGGAAACTAAGAGTCAATAACTTGCCCATGGAATAAATAAATAAATAAATAAACTGTCACGGATTGTAGCAGAGCAGGGATTCAAACTTCGACTCATCCAACCTCGCTACCAATGCTTGTCAGCTCTTCACGAGCTGCAAGGTAAAACAGTATCTACATGTTCGGGCTGTTATGTATTCTGACTTCTAGTCTCTTTCGCACATCTGGCCTTCCTAGCAGTGAGCTCGGGAGAGAACACTGCAGATTATTTATTAAGACCTTTTCTGTGTCATGGGAGCCAGTATTCCCTCCTTTTCAGCCTGCTCTTCTCATACTGGAGAAACATTAAATTCACATGTGTCTAAAATGCAAAAATCATAGAGAAGAGTTGAGGAGATACCATCCTACTCCTGCCCATCCCTCCCTGCGATTTTCAATGGGCTTTCTCCTTTATTGAGAAATTCTGAAAATAGAATGCATGCAGACTTTGAATTCCAGTATAAAAATAGCACTTTATTTCCGAAGCACTTTCTAAATATGTAAAACTGATCATTCCACTTTGCTTTTCTATATTAAATATAATCCTTTAAGAAAAGAACACTTTACTACCCTACTGTTATGGAATGCATACACTTGAACCTCTTTATACTGTAAAGATATTACAAGCTATAAAGTTTATTCTATCAGACATGAATAGACTGCTAAGCCAAGGAAAGTGGGGAGTTATTAAACTATAAAACATAACTTAGAGATAAAAAGTGGTCTGACTTCCATTTGAATAGCAAATAGAGACTGTCTACCTGGTTAATATAATATAAATAGTAATCTCTTTGAAATAGCAATTCTCTCTTATAGTTAGCTAAAGGAAATAGAGAACAAATAAATATTAGGACAGTGGAAAAAGGCAGCTAAAATTTGTTGAGCACCTATTTTGTGCCAGGCACTGGATTAGAACATGTATTATCTCTTAACCAGCCCTCAACGCATTGAAGTGCATACTAATATTGTTCTGGTCAAACAGCAATTCTTCCTAGAAGGAGGTGGCTGTTAGTCCAGCTCACGGCAGCTGGGGCTTGGATCCGCTGGCTTGATATAAAGGGATCTGGGAAGGGTACCAAGAGCATCTACTTCCCATTACTTCTCCATGTTGTTGCCCATTTAGATCTTGCTGTAAGACTAATAAACCCTTGTTGTGTTTTTGTGTCAATAGAGACCACATCTCTTGGGACCTCATGAAATCAGAGGGCCATATCTAATTCTGATACCATTGCATCTCACCATTTCTCAGCCCCTTTGAGAGATGGGCTTTCTGGGCACTGGTTAGTAGTGGAAGAATTTTTTTTTCTAAGTGCACATTGCTCTGATCGGGATTTGTTCCAGTCCTATGTTTGATGCATTCACCTGCTAAAGCATTTTTATGTTCTCCCACCCCACCGCTTCACACAGCCTCCCACACACTCACTCACCCACATGCATCTGCACACATGTAGTTTACCCTTCAGAAAAGAAATGTCCCTTTTTTTTTTT